GAGAGGGTGCCTAGAAAGCATCGTATGTGAATCTGATCTTTTTGAGACGTCTTGCAGGCCGGGGCGGCTATTGCGGGGCTGGGAGCAGAAACCTCGCCGTTGACTTGGTCCCCCCTCTACTCCCCTTCGTCTCCTTGGTGGAAAATCCCGGGCTGGATTCTCCCAGGGCTGCGGGACTGGTGGCAGAAAGCCTCGGGATTACTACGGCGATTAACGCCGTGCGAACAAGGGTCCTAGGCGGGCGAGGCTTTAATTATGCCAGCTGTAGACTGACTCGCCAGCTCCGTGGGTCTTGCCAGTGATGACACGGGAGAAGGCCGAAATTAAAAAGTGAAACAATTTCGATGACATGTTGGTCTGGCTGGTCACTCCCCGGGCTGGCAGTTTGGGGCGGGAGGGGTGTGTGGAGGCCAGGAAGGAGGGAGTGAGCTAGCAAAGACAGAGAGAGAGGAGGGGAAGGAGGAAGATTATTTTTTAAATTGCATCCTACAAACAATAAAAAAGGCGAGGGGAGGTGGGGGCGGCAGGGCTTTGCCGCGTGTCGTTGCGTGTGACCTCTCCATGTCTCTGTATTTTGGAGTCCATTGTGCCTCACCATCCTCTGTGCCCGGGGAAATGTGTCCCAGGTCCTAAACCCCAATATCGAGACACGTACGCGGCTGGTCCTGCGTGGGTCTCCTTCCCCAGCCCCCCTCCTTTCCGCCCTCTCATCCCTCCCGAGGCTGAACAACTTCTGTTGTTTTCGTTGCAGACAATCCAGCTGCAAACTGGCTCCACGCAAGGTCCACCAGGAAAAAGCGGTGCCCTTATACCAAGCATCAGACGCTGGAACTGGAGAAGGAGTTTCTGTTCAATATGTATCTCACTAGGGACCGTAGATACGAGGTGGCCAGACTCCTCAATTTAACTGAGAGACAAGTGAAAATCTGGTTTCAGAACAGGAGGATGAAAATGAAGAAAATCAACAAAGATCGAGCGAAGGACGAATGATGGCGACACGCGGGTTAAATTGAAAATGCATACAATTAAAAAAAAAAAAGAAAAAAAAAAAGAAAAAAAAAGTTAAAAACAAACCCATCAAAAAATCCTCCTCTCGACCCCTGCCATGCAATGCGTCTGGGTCCAGGCCTCATTTTTTTCCCTTGGCAAATTCTGATTATGATTGTACCTTAATTGTCACAGAGGCCAGTTTGCCAGGAGAGGTACAGTAAGACTTTTAATTTTCTGATAGGAAAGAAAAAGGGGGCATTAGCACGAAAAGGCTGTTTAGCTGGCTTGTATAAATCTACCTGTTTCTTCACTTAGAGAAAGAAAAAAAAAAAAAGGAAAAAAAAAGAAAAAACTACCTTTTCATAATGCACAACTATTTACGGACTGTATAGTTTAGTCTACGTAGTTAATTTTATTCGCTCCTTGCGCGGCAGAGAGATCTCTGCTCTAATACTTGAACACTGTGTTTTATTGTGGTAATTATGTTTGTGACTCAATTTATGTGCTTGGGTGCTGTACCGGATGTAATGGTGTAAGCTAGAATTCAATTTGAACTCAGGTTGTTTATTATAAAAATTGCATAGAGTATAGCTCTGTAGTGTATTAAGTCTTTTCTGTATAATTAGACACTTAACCTTTGATTGTAAAATATATATTATATATATCTCAATGCAAAAAAAAAAAAAAAAAAAGTAGAAAAGAAGTTCGTCCGGGATGTCTGGGAATTACGGTTCTCAAAATATTGAAGCAAGTCATTTTAGTATGCACAGTTGATATATATATATATAGTATTGTCTTTGTGGGTTGTATATATAATCTATATACTAAAAAAAGTAAGTAAACAGACTAGCTTAAATATTGTTTTTGCACCAGTGAGCAGTTAGCAGATTTCGGAGCTATACATATATGTGAAAAGGGTAACTACCTATGGTTTACGTTTTAATTTTAATCGAATGATTTGATGGTTATTGTAATGAAGGTTAATTTTATTGATAATAAATTATACACTATAAAAACCTACATTTGGTTATTGTAAATTTGTATCGATTAAAAAAAATAAATCTGGGAAGTTGTGTTGATGCAGAACGTACATTGTCTATTTTGAAATAGTTACCTCATGGCCTACTGACCAAATCGTTGTGTTGAAAAGATATTTAACTTTTTGCCAAATAAAATTTATTGATTCTTTTATATTTTGTGCTGGTTTAAGATTATTAAGGAGGGGTTCTTCCACGGCACGCCAAACCTCGCCAGCAGATGTGGCAGGGCTAGGGCAGCTGCGGAGGTGAGGCGAGCAGTAGCATTATTTCTCAGCCAAGGCAAATCGACGGGTCTATAAACGCAGACCCCAGGTGATGAAAAATTGGGATTATTTTCGTCCTAAATGGGCAGATGCAGGTCCTACGTGCCATTGCTTTGCCGAGAGGAGGCACGGCTCCCCCGTCCCGGATACAATTTGGTAAGCTGGCCCTTAGCAGAGCGAGAGGGAGCCCCTTCGGTTGGCAGCGGGGACACGCTCCCCAGTTAACGCGGTTTTTAATAAATTCGCCTGGCGAGGCGGGGAGGATTTAGGACTAAACCAAAATGTCTGACGTTCTTTAGTGCAGACAATAATGTAAATCAGCTCAGACGGTGACATTTAAGCTGAGATGCTTAATTAGCCTGGACCAGAAAATGTTCAGAGCTAAGTGTGCTTCAACAAGCTTTGTGAGAAGGCTCGCCTTACCGGCGTGTTGATTTTAAATCCCCTCCTAGAGAAAATCGCCCATGCAAAATACGTTATTTCAAACGTCACCTGTTTTTTCGTTCCTTTGCCTTCACGTTTGGGATTTTTCTTTTCTTCCTGCCTTTTAAATGTTCGGTGGCAAATAAAAACAACCCCTTGCATTTTACTAGCTCCTCAGATTATGTATGTACGTATAGATAGAAACAGATAAAATTTTACTGACGATTATGGTAGAATTTATGGTG